AAAGAGCCAGCGCTACAGCGTTGGGTTCAATCATTTTCGAGAAGGGGTATTTGGAAGAGAGAAATACATTTTCCCTCAGTTTTCTATTGAAAAAAAAAGTTCAAATATATCAAATGACAAGGATCTACCGGTACAGTTTATGTCAGTTATAGCCTAAAAAACAAATATTGAGTGGCTTTAAATAGTGAAATGGGAGGAATATTATCGCTTGGTAAAATCTGGACTTTTCCAGTTCACTCGGCTTCGCCTCGTGAAATGGAAAAGTCCAGATATTTACCTTGCGATAATATTCCTCCCATTCCACGCTGAGCCACTCAATATTTGTATACTGTACAACAATTTTACAGGTGACGTCATCAAATGTTAGAGCGCCCTCTGGCGGCACGTTGAAAAATTCAAACATGGATTTAAACATGCATATTTTCAGTTGATGTGTGTGGCAAAGTCTGCGGTAATCCATGGCCCAACACCGTGTGGTTGTTCCTACAACCTCTAGTTTATTTTTGGTTGCCTATTTTCAGTGGTACTGACTTTGTCTAAGTATTTGTCTGAACATGTCCGTTCGTTTTTTTGAATTTGTCTGCTTTTGGTTGCCCTTGTATGCTATGGTTCTGACTCTATCTAGTACTTGTTTGTCTGCTTTGCTTGATTTTGTCTGTTTGTGAGTCTGATAATTGTCTGATTTGGTCTGCTTGTGCAATTGTTTGTCCATGTCTGATTTTCTGCCTCGTCTTGTAATTTTATTGCTGTCTGTTTGTTTGTCTGCGTAAATGTTTTTGTACATATTTTAAATGGATTTTCACTGCATGTGCGATTTTTTTTCGTGTTTTAAAAATCGTGTTATTTTAAATACTTTCAACAAATTTTTTTAGTTATACCTGTATTGTGCAATTATCTGTTATCTTTATATGATAGGCCTATATATATTTTTTTGAACAGGGATATCTGGATGAACACATCATTAAGTTGACAGTTTTATACTTTTTTCCCCTCGACATCCCCCGTTCACTTTATCAATTTTTTTTAGTGTCAAAAGATGTAAAATAAAAAATAATGAAAATAATTTTTTACAAACCAAATCTATTTTTCGGGGTTAAACTCAAAAAAAGCATCAATCATCGATCAATTTTTACGCGAATCTGCCAATTAAATTTTACCATAATCTGTGAAACACTAACTTGAGTTCATTATCGACCATGCCAAAATAATGTGTTGAATTTAATTAGAATTATGCGCAGCGTTAACTGTTAACAGCTGTGTCACTCAGATGCATTGTTGATCTTTTTGTGAGTTTTCCAAGTGAATTGAAAACCAAATATAGAATTTCAGTCCTATTTGACTGGGTTCTACGGCCAAATCACTTTTTTTTTTAAGTGGAGAAAGAAACCTCCCGTCATGAACATTTCTAGTATCAAAAATTGCCATTCCAGGCAATCTGGCAAAATTAGAATGACTGGTGGGCACCCCTAGAATGAAAAACCCAAAATTGAAATCTGCAGAACGAATTTGACTGCTTAATTTTGTTAAATTTTAATTACAAGAGACATTGGATTAGCACAATCTTTGAATTTCATTGTCAATTAGGCCTATTGTCAATTATCATGAATTTGACAGTTGAAACCATTGATCACTATGGCTATATAATGGAGATCAATGGTTGAAACATATCTCTCTCATTGGTCGCTATCTTCGTAGGAAAATTACAACTACGAGTTCAGCGCCGTGTGTATGTGCGCAGCGTGCAAAATGCATGGCAAAATATCTGAAACACACGCGCATGTTGCTCGAAATTTCTTCGAAATACGGTGCAGCCGATGCGCGTCACGAAAATTTTGACACCCAGAATGCCGCAGCACGTGGCAATCTGTAGGGAGTCAACCTCGTCCCCAGGGTGTCAAGCAGTACGCGCCCACCACTACTTGCTCTCTCACCCTGGTATTGGATCATTTGCATGTGCAAGGTTTTTGAACACGTATGCAAATGAGGAATAATCTGGTGCCTGCATGTACGTTACATTAGTGTTTGTTTTTGTATGCGGTGTCTGGGGTAAAAACAGCATCAATTCGTCAAGCCGTGAGTTATGAAAACACGATTTTTTTGGAAGTTAAAATGTTACAATATGGCCCGCCAATTATGTAGTATCACATTTCATATTAATATGAGAAAACTGGAAAGAAAGGAGTATTATTGAGAAGGTGTGGACGTTATAATTACAATGATCTTGAAAACATGTAAAGCATGTTGGAAATAACAACACCAACTACACGATATAAATCCAATATTAGCAAATTGCAGTATCAAATCAGGAATGGATACAGGAAGAAAGTTTCGTATCCAGGGCTTACTATTGGAAACGAGTTTGGAAAGTAAAGTAAGCACTGGGGATGAGGTTAGTAGGGAGTAAAGTCATTTGAGAGAGACCTATTTACAAGGACAACGTGTGGATTCTCCTCGAATCGCATCGTGCCATACAGCATTGTACAGAGAGATAGCCGTGGCTAGTACGTGCATATTGCAGTAAGCCTACAGCATAAACTGTATACTGTATACGGATAATCATAATTTCTGTTTTACATAAGTCTAAATATATATCCGGTTGGTAAAATTAGTGTCCAAACAACTATTCATCAATTCACTTCATAAGTGAGTAGGCCACGTTTGCTTTGACGCGTTGTCTGATGATGAGTCACCATTGCCATGTTTCATAGGGGTTCAGTACAAAGTACACTTTAACAACTATTCGATGACTGAGTCAGCTAAGGTCAAAATGGTGCTGTCAGCAACCGTTCGATAGTTGCCATATGGCATCAGATAAGCGCTTTGTTTGCGAAATGAATCGCTTTGAATTGTGTACTGTTTATTGAGAGTGAAAGTCGATTTCAGGACTGACTACAGCTGACCAAACCAAAGCTGACTCATCATTAGACAACGCGTCTGACTACGATGGTATTCCAGATATCTGAAAACAAGGTTGCGTCCAAATCTGTTTTATAAGGTTATTGTTCACATGCCTACGACAATAATTCCAGTCCGTCATCTGATTGGTGAATTGTAGATCACGTGACATATTATTATTCGGTATAATGCACGGTGCGACCATGCGTTATACCCATGCGTTATACCGTTTCACTTTGCGCTTGTTCCATGACGCGGTATTTGCGTGCAAAATGCATGCTGGTGTGCGCGTTCAGCGTAGCGCGTATTGTTCCAAAGAGCCAGCGCTACAGCGTTGGGTTCAAACATTTTCGTGAAGGGGTAGTTCAACATCTTTAAAATCAAAATAAATTGTAGTTCATAATTTACATGTACCAATCAAATGACGAGAATTTATTCTGGTGTTGTATATTTATAAAACAAATAACGAATTTTTACGTTCGTGCGATGGAAAGAATTATTTCATTCGGTGACAGATTGAATGTTCTATTCCACTCGGCTTCGCCTCGTGGAATAGAACATTCAATCTGTCACCTCATGAAATTATTCTTACCATCGCACTCACAAACATTTGTTATTTGTATACTAACCATAATGCGCAGTCGCCCGTTCCCAAAATTTTGCAAGGAGAAGGGTGTTAAAGAAGATGTAACGATACGCAAGACCAAAATCATTAGGTCTTGTAATTTTCTGTATAGGGCTTTCAAAAATCACCTGTAAGATGACGTCACATGACCCATGATGACATCATCATGACGTCACCTCAGTTTTTACCTGTAACACCCTGTCAAGTTTCAACCCAATTGCACTTTTAGCTCTCTAGATATATGACTTTAAAATATCACCTTTAAGATGATCACATGACATGATGTCATCACGAATCATGTGACGTGACACGAGTCATGACACGGGTCATGTCATATTTATAGTAGACATTTACAGAAGTAACTTACAGAAGTACTTTTTCTTATTTTTTTCCTTATTTCTTTTTAAATAACCCGCGTATTCCATCTGGGTGGCATTAAGGAGAAATCAAGAAATTTACGCGATTCCTAACGCTCAGTCAATTGAATGATCGGTGGAAATACAGAGTGCTATATGGACAAAATCGTGTTTCGTGATAAACAGTTGTGCATGGTTTTTCATTGTTTTCTCAAAAAGTGTATTATCGACTGAGCTAAAGCTTCACCACTGGGCTAGGTTTTGAAAATTCGTCTTTGGATCGTGAGTGCTGTTGTGATTGGATTAATGCAAAATGATCCTATGTATATGGGCGTCGCCAGGATTTTTTCTAGAGGGGGGCAAAGCACATTTTCCCCCGAAATCCCTGTACTTTTTCAGCATATTCTCGATTTATCATTTTTTCGAGGGTGGGCAGGGATATTTGCCACCCCCCCACCCAAGCCATTAAATTAACGGCAATATGACTTCGTGCCTCTTTTTCTTTTTTCTTTTTTTCTCCTTTTTTTTCTCCCCCCCCCCCCCCTCCCCTCGCGACGCCCATGCCTATGTATGCCTTGAACACTTGCAACTTTCAGAAACTGTCTACGGTTAAAAGTATATTTCCAACTTACCGCCCTTAATTTAGTTCCATGGAAGGGGAAGGGCAACCCACCTAAGTCCTAAAGACATTTCTGGAAACTAAATCAGTAACAACATGCGGAGGCCCCCGGTAATGCCGGAAACACTGTCCCGGCTACTTAGTTGCGTAACTGGCGTCAAACGTACAGGGGCTTCTTGATGAGAGGGGGGCACTCAGTAGGTTTTTAAGAATAAAAAAAGTTCATTATTCAAAACTGAGCGGAAAGGTACTAGGTGGCACAAGCCTAAAAAAGTGGAAAGGGAGGTGCACGTGATTTTTTTTCAAAACAACGGAGAAATCTAATCCTTATAAAGTTATATACAGAAATAACGTTTCAAAACTGCGTATTGGTTACATGAATGTGTCTGGTTATAGAAAAAACATGAGTGGTCTGGAACTATTTTGTGTAAGTGCACAGTGAAGCGATGTTGAAATTAAAAAGTAACAAATTCCTATTTGTCTTTTTATATTTTTCTGCTTTTAGAATATGGATCAATGGTGATGACCCGGATTTTTTCAAAGTCCAGTCAAAAGATGGCAGCAGACGTAACATCAGCACGTAACAGTGATCTGGGGAAACCCAAAGGTCCAAATATTACCCGAGTCACTCAACCACCATCGGAAATCGATGACCAAGGACCCATCCGGGAACCAAAGAAACAGCAACGAATCGTCATCATCGGCTCTGGACCCACTGCTCTGGGCGCTGCTAAAAGACTGTACGATCTCGGTCAAGGCAAAAACAACAGCGTGATCACCATCCTGGAAGAGCTAGGTAGACCAGGAGGCCTTGCTTCTTCTACCAGGGATGATAAAGGTTTTCTCTGGGACGTCGGAGTTCACGTCGTCTTCTCGCATTACACCTACTTCGATCGAGTTCTGAACATGGCAGTACCCGAGTGGAACTACCGGCGCAGGGCGTCATTTGCCTTCATGAAAGGATCAGATGACAAGAGGAGATTTATTCCTTATCCAGTTCAGAACAACATCCACGTCATGGATAAAATTGATCAGCAGAAAAGCCTGAAAGGATTAGAGGAGATTACCAAAAGTCCCATCACCCGTAAACCCACAAATTTTGACGAGTGGCTGCTGCAGAAATTCGGAGTGGGTCTCGCGGATGTCTTTATGAGGAAATACAACCAGAAAATATGGACAGTTGACACCAAAGAAATGAACTCAGCCTGGGTTGGTGAGCGGGTTGCCGTACCAGACATTGAAGAGATCAAGACCAAGATTAAAGAGGTGGATAACGGGATAGAGGCCAAGGATTCCGAGTGGGGACCGAACCGTTTCTTCCGTTTCCCCAAATATAATGGAACTGGTGGAATTTGGCAGTCAGTTGCGAGAATGCTTCCAAGCCACTGGTTCAGATTTCACGAAAAGGCAACTGCAATTGATATTGACCAAAAAATTATCACTGTTGAGGCTGGAACGGTTAGTAAGACACACTACACCTTAGAATACGATATTCTTTTCTCGACGGTCCCCTTAGACGTCTTTACATCCTTCTTGCAGAGCAAAGATACATCTTTGGAGCAGATGCGGCAGCTCGCATCCCAACTGGTGTACACACACACTCACATCGTAGGCGTCGGCCTCACCGGTCACCTACCCAAGAGCCTCGCTGATAAGTCTTGGGTGTATTTCCCTGATTCTGATTCTCCCTTTTACCGTGTAACAATGTTCTCCAATTATTCAGACGACCATGTACCTAAAGGAGGAGCTTTTTGGTCGCTTATGTGCGAAATAGCCGAACCACAGAAAAGTTCCAATCCAGCGTATTGGAGTAGAGAAAACTTGATTAAAGAATCCATTCAAGCCTTAGTCTTGTACGGGTTCATCACTGCTGATATGGTAGTCTCCAAGCACTACCGTCTCTTGGACCACGGATACCCTGTCCCTTCACTTAAAAGAGATATGCTCCTTGACACGATACAACCTTGGCTGAAAACAAAAGACATCTACTCCCGTGGACGGTTTGGAGGTTGGAGATACGAGGTTGCAAATCAAGATCATTCCTTCATGCAAGGGGTCGAGGCTGTGGACAAGATCCTAAGCGACATTCCGGAGTTGACTTACCCGGATCCAAATCTCGCCAACTCCAAGAAAAACACGGATCGCACCATCCCCTTGGATTATGAAATCGTCATCGCTCATTATAACGAGAATCTTAATTGGCTGAAGCCTTACGCTAACCACACCCTCATCTACCATCATGGGAAAGACCTGGGTCCGCCATTCCAGTTCTACGGTTGGGAGCGTCTGAAGAATGTCGGGCGCGAACCTCACGCGTATCTTCATCACATCACCACCTACTACGACCGGCTCTCTGACGTCACTGTCTTTGCGCAGGGAGACAGCATGAAGGGAAAATGCTACAAGAATCCATTGCAGTTCATTGATTCCGCCAAAAAGGGTGTCCCTTGCATAAAACTTGGAAATATGCATACTGATTGGGGGCACATCAAATTCCCTGGTCGTTATTTGGATCATTATAAGAATGATCCACTAGTCAGATCGAATGAGACTTTTGGAGAGGTGTACCAAAATCTATACGGTCACCCACCACCCAAGGAAGGAATACGGTACTGCTGGAACGCCTGCTTCGGCGCAACCAAGCAACAGATCCTAAGACATTCACTAGAGTTCTATCAGAAGGCTCTGGCCTATGTGAGCAAACATTCAAACCAAGAAGAGAGCCACTACTTAGAGAGATTATGGTATCACTTCTTCGAAGGAGTTGATAAACCATAAAAAAACAATTTCATGAATATATGTATATATTGCAAACGATTCATCTTCTCTACCTAATCCTTACTGCCGGGCTGCCAATTTTGTTCCATAGGTGGGTTGCTCAAATGTCATGTATAATTCAAGTTTTTTTTTAATCGTTGCAAGAAACTTAGGTTCTCGTTCTCTTTTTCCCCTTAAAAATAAAATTATCTCAACGATAAATTCAGAGAAGAAAAATACATGTAGTCTGTGAAAATGAGCAACGACGACGTGGATTCGAACCAGGGATCTTAGTATCCGTAGCTCATCACAACTACTTTTTATTTTTGTATATATTTATCCTGTCCATGGGTTTTTATGACTTTTAACATAATGCTGCTGTTTATTGGCTATTCTGTAATTTTGTAAGGTATTTGTAGTATTGTTTTTTTTTATAATTGAAGGGAAAATACAACATTTGCAAACATCAAAAAATAAAACTACCAAATCATTTTGAAATACCTTGCTGGACTGTTAGTGAATGACAGTGTAAAGCATCCTGTAAAATCATGGCACCTGGTATACTGTCATTTTCAAGAAAAGTGGTATTTTTGTATCAATTTCCAACGCTGGTCGGCCGACCAGCGTTGGAAAAAACTGGCTTTTTTTCAAATACTGGCCCCAATTGACCATCGCACTTGTTTGCAATCGATTACACACCTACGGAACTGGTACAAGCCAGCTAGACTAGTGCCGTGACCTTACAATTCCCCAATGTATGTAAACTGCTCTGTTTCTTCTTATATGGAGTCAGGGAACCAGACTACAGGAAAATGATTGTTTTTCTTGGTTTTTATAGCATTTTCGAACCCAAAACCTCAAAAAAGTCAGTGTAACTACATGTATATTTGCTATATACTTCCAACCCCCCAATTCCATCCATTTCTGAAAATTACAGCAAAAGCAAATGATGTATATTCCCTTTAAGTTTGTAAAGTCCTTTGATGCCATTGCTTTATGCGCTATATAAGTCTGGTTTATTAGTGTTTATTATTATTATTATTATTAATATTATTATTATCCATTATATAACTGACATACAGATCCTAGTAATTTGATTGGTGGAACTCACATCACGTGACATTCGTTATTGCTCCCATTCACGCCGCGGCTCAAAAAGTACTATCCGCCCATGGGGAATGGGAAATACTATTCAACAGTTAAGATTGTGACGCTGTATGTGTGTGCAAATGCATGCTGGTGTGCGCGTTCAGCGTTGCGCGTAGTGCGTATTGTTCCAAAGAGCCATCGCTACAGCGTTGGGTTCAAACATTTTCGTGAAGGGGTGGTTTGGAAGAGAGAAGTACATTTTCCTCCAGTTTTGTATTGAAAAAAGTTCAAATATATCAAATGACAAGGATCTATATTCCAGTTATATAAAACAAATATTGAGTGGCGTTAAATTGTGAAATGGGAGGAATATTATCGCTCGGTAAAATCTGGAGTTTTCCAGTTCACTCGGCTTCGCCTCGTGAAATGGAAAAGTCCAGATTTTACCGAGCGATAATATTCCTCCCATTCCACGCTGAGCCACTCAATATTTGTATATTATACAATACCTGAATAAATCCCCGTCATCTGATTGGTGGATCGTTGATCACATGTCATTGAATTATTCAGTGCACAGTGCAATGGATGTTCTGTTGCACGGTGAATAGAACTTCCATTGCACGGTGTCACTGCTTCTGGTGGTGGCGCTGTTTTAAATCGAGATAGATTGAATATGATTGTTCTCAACCTGTTGAACAGTTTGCATAAATTTAATATGATGAATTTGTCGAACTTTTAAACAGTTTTAACCTGAATAAATTGGCTACTAAAAGTCAACCAATCAGATGACAAGGATTTATTCAGGTGTTATATAAAACAAATAATGAATGTTTCGTGTTCGTGCAATGGAAAGAATAATTTCATTCAGTGACAATTGAAATGTTCCATTCCACGAGGCGAAGCCTCGTGGAATGGAACATTTCATCTGTCACCTCATGAAATTATTCTTACCATTGCACTCACAAACATTCATTATTTGTATACTAGGCTTTGTGGTAGCTCGACGACGTCCGTACTCTAAAATGCTTTAAAGGTAACTGGTTGACAAAATAACAATAATTAATTGACAATAATAAGACAGAACATTTTTACTGTCAGATTTTGTGTTTTGCCTTATGAGGAATTAACCAAGTCTTATTCTGGAAAGGGGGATGCGTGGTGAGTTTTGTCAGTTTGGTGAGTTTCACGTTTGAAAAAAAGTGAATCATATATTACGCTGTTGTAAAATTGATAAACGAGGTTTGTTTGTCCGTTTCGGAACACCACACTCTTTGGCCAGTCTCCATCAGAAGCAGTGATAACTGTAAACTGTTGCTCCGCTTCAGTTTAACAATAGTTATTTGATAGTTACATGTGCTTATGGTGGCTAATACATCTCCCGTATGTCCAGCATTGTGCTCAGATTTTTTTCCATGTCTGTGCTTAGATTAGTAAGGCCAAAAAAAAAAGTCTCCGGTTTCTGGTATGCGCGCGCGTCGCCGTAGCCATGCGCATCGGCAAAATGAAAAAAAAAAAATTTCAATACAAGATGATGTCTCAAAACCGCCAAACTCACTGGTTTGACTGGAATCCTGCTGCTGCACAATTTTAACGTGTTTTTAGATGGGGCTATGATCGAGAATAAGCTTTATGTGGCCTCTCTGGACTCCCATATATGCACTAAGTTTAGTCGGGCACCATTTGCAGTCATCAGCCGACATTTGAAGCCAAAAAAAAAAAAAACAGGTAAAAAAAAAAAAAAAAGCCGCGTCGCCGCACCACTTTTGGGGCAAGCTCCATACCAGAAACCGGAGACTTTTTTTTTTGGCCTAAGATAACGTAAGCACAGTTTTGTAAAATATTAGGTATAATAAATGTCAACATTTTACCCAACTGTAGCCACAAGAATCGACCCAACAGGCTAGGGTGGACCACATCCACGTTTGTACTTTTGGATTTTTCCTTTTATTTTAACTGGCACTATTAAAGATAGAAAAATGTATATGTCTTATATTCAATCTGCCATCAGCAGCACCCCCCCCCCCCCCCCCTCGCGGTTTTAACGTGATGGTGCGGATTCGATGCATGAGGGCGCGCGTTATACTGTACGGACGTACGTATGCGCTATGTGGTCAAGCGATGTTGCTGCATGCATAGTGATATGCATCGACATACATGCGCGTACTCGCGAGGGGGGGGGGGGGGAGTGCTGATGGCAACCTCGTCCCCAGGGTGTCGAGCAGTACGCGCCCACCACTACCTGCTCTCTCACCCTGGTATTGGATCATATGCATGTGCAAGATTTTTGAACACGATATGCAAATGAGGAACAGTCTGGTGCCTGGATATGCGTTACACATTAGCGTTTGTTTTTGTATGCGGTGTCTGGGGTAAAAACAGAGTCAATAGCAGCGCGAGCACGGCGTGAGTTACGAAATCACGATTTTTGAAATCAAAACTGTTACGATCTTATCAGACAACATGCAGTATCATATTTCATATTAATTGGAAAGGAAATCAGTATTTTCGAGAAGGCGTGGACGAATGATCGTGAAAACACGTACTGCACGTTGTGAATAATAGCACCAAGTACACGATAAAAATCCATTACTAGCCAATTGCGGTATCCAATCAGGATACAGGAAGAAAGTTTCCTATCCAGGCTTTACTATTGGAAACGCGGTTGGAAATAAAGTAAGCACTGGGAACGAGGTTGTGCTGATGGCAGATTGATTAATTCGGCATTGCTAACTTTTGAATCACATGTATGCACATGCACCCACATAATACGCGTGTTGTACAATGTACACACAGTGTGGGCACATTAATATACGGCACTGGAATGGAAAGATGAATTTTGTTATTTTTTTTTTAACTTATTAACTTTCTAAGATACCGACTTAAAGCAATTCCGACCTGAGTCAAGTCTACACCGACATGGACGCGCTACCACCATACTCTAAGAGGCTCTGATCGTGATTGGTCATAAGCCCCGCCAATATTAGCAACGGCTTGGAAACGTCATGCGGTCGGTAAACTGCGCAAGTGCACTCAGTCTTTTCGTTTGCAACGTGCACGTACGCAAGGGCGGATCCGGGGGGGGGGGGGCCAAAGGGGGCCATGGCCCCCCAAAACGAAACCAATTTTTTTTTTTTTTTATGTGACATCGCAATAAAGGCAGGCAATGAGTACACCACCATCTTTTCCTCAAAAAAAATTGGTTAAAGTGGTCATAAATTGCCTCAGATCGCACCACAGAGCATCTAGAATCCAAACAAATATTTTTTGGCCCCCCCCAAAAAAAATTGTGTTCTGGATCCGCCCTTGCACGTACGTCACACGTACGCACGCGCGCACTTGCTGTATTTAGAAAACAATTCAAAAGTGAGTCCATCTTTTGTCCATCAAAATGTTACAATCTTATCCTGCCAATATGCAGTATCACATTTCATATTAAAATGAGCGAACTGGAAAGGAAAGGAGTATTTTGAGAAGGCGCGTGGACGTTATAATTACAATGATCGTGAAAACTCGTACTGAACGTTGGAAATAACAACACCAAGTACACGATATAAATCCATTACTAGCCAATTTCGGTATTGTGACGCGACAGAGGGTGCTGTTTAAATAGAGCTAGACTTGAAATCAAGTCTGTAATGAGTGGTTTTAATCGCGTCCGCCGCGCGCGACTGCCAAGCTCTGTGCCGGGGGTACGACATACCGCATGCTGTCCTAGTAGCGGGGACGCTACGTACATGTACATTTTCGACCCCATGCGTGTGCGAGACACGGACTGACCATGCCGCGCGGTAGTACATGACTTTAGCATGAATGGTTGTAGCGCTGACGTTGCGTGAACGGCGGTGGCATGGCCGGTATGCGGATTCTGGCGCTGATGACGGACATAAACCACTATAGTCTAACGACTTGTCATCAAGTCTAAAATAGAGTATGCTAGCGCCCTATTATGGTGAATGCACTTTGGTGTGCGCGAGTAATGCGTGAAGTAAAAGCATATGCAGCGCCTAGGCCCCGCCTGGCGCGTACATTCATTGGGCTAATGAGGCACTGTTCGGTGACATACAGCG